AGGCACCACGGTAGGAAGTTCCAGGACAGAAGGTGCAGAAGAAAAGCGGGTCGCCCTGGCGCGTGGACCAGAGGCTCCTTTTCTGCATTTGGCCCTCGCCCTTCACCGCTCTCAGCAGAAAAGTTAGAGCCCAGACAAGGCCGCAGCCAAAGTCATTCACCTCTAAACGATGGGTCTAAATTTAAACTCTGTTTTGTGTGACTCCAAGCCAAGGCTATCGCCCTAACATTCTCAGGGAGGGCTGTAAATAATACAGGTAAAGTTAAGTTCTGGCTTACGATAGGACTTTCAGCCTGCCATGGTGTGTTCCTCAGCCTGTACTCCCAGCATTAAATATAATTACATAGCTTTTACAAAAGTACTTGACCACCGGAAGGGTAGAGGAAGATTTAGGTAACAGGTACCAAAATCAAGAATAAAGTCTGTTTATTGAACTTGGGGGTCAAAACTTGTTCCCCAAGTCAGGTCCAGTCGCCTGGCCCCAGTAAGCCGACTGATTAAAGAGCCTAATTAAAAGTGGAAAGCAGAAAGGGGGGGCTTTATTCAATATGGTCACATTGGGAAGAAGGATAAAGAGGTCCAGGAAACACCTCAAGCCCATCTTTGTGAGGTCAAAGTTTAAATAGAAGGGAAAGGATATGCACCTTCCCCTAGGGGAACAGAATTGTTACATTGGGGGAGCATAACTGTAAGGACTATGCTTACAATGACTGTGTGGTGGTATTTCTTGGCTCCAGACTGCCAGGATACTGTAGCTGCGATGCTTACACAAACCAACCCAACACTTTCTAAGAGACCTTAATGAAAAGACAGAGGTATTTCTGTGTTCTTGTCCAGAAACAGACTTGACAAATCCTAACACTGAAGCCAGTGCCTGGTGTTTTTGGAAACCTGACTCTTCTCCCTGGGCTGTGGTTATCAGTCTTAAGGCAGATGTGTTTGCCGTATCCTGTGCCTGACTTAGCTTTTGGCTGACCTTAGCTTCCCCTCCTCCCTGCAAATAGTATATATAATACTGTACTTCTAAAAAACTGAGCTATACATTTTCCCTCATTCCCCTTCTTCCCATACCCCCCACCCCATGCTCCTACTTTACTCAGGAGATCTTATCTTTTCCCCCTTCCTAGTCATATCCATGTATGCTTCTCTTAGGGCCCTCTTTGATACATAGCATCTCTGGAGGTGTGGACTCTAGTCTGGTTATCCTTTATGTTTAATATCCAATTGTGAGTGAGTACATAATGTATTTGTTTTTCTGGGTCTGGGTTACCTCACTCAGGATGGCTTTTCCTAGTTCTGTCCATTTGCTTGCAAATTCAAACATGTCATTGTTTTTTACTCTTGAGTAGTACTCTATTGTGTAAATATACCACATTTTTTCTTATCCATTCTTTGAGGGGCATCTAGGTTGATTGCAAGTTCTGGCTATTACAAATAATGTTGCTGTGAACATAGTTGAGCAAATGTCTTTGTGGTGTGAGTGTGCATCCTTTTATTTTATTTTATGTCCAAAAGTAGTATTCCTGGGTCTGGGGTAGGTTGATTCCCAATTTTCTGAAAAACCTCCATACCAATTTCCCCTTACTCCACATCCTCTCCAGTATAGGCGGTTTTTCTTTTTCTTTCTTGGCCATTATGACAGGTGCAAGATGGTATCTCAGAGTTTTGATTTGCATTTCTCTAATGACTAAGGATGTTAAGGATTTCCTTAAGTGCCTTAAGTGTCTTTCAGCCTTTGAGATTTCTCTGTTGAGAGTATTTTTTTTTTTTTTTTTTTTTGTATCCCATTTTGGTTTTTATTGGATTATTTGGACTTTTGACGTTTAGTTTCTTGAGTTCTTTGTATATTTTAGAGATCAGTCCTCTGTCAGATGTGGGGTTGGTGAAGATCTTTACCCATTCTGTAGGCTGGTGTTTTGTCTTGTTGACCATGTTCTTTGCTTTACAGAAGCTCCTCAGTTTTAGGAGGTGCCATTTATTCATTGTTGCTATCAGTATCTGTGCTACTGGTGTTCTATTTAGGAAGTGATCTCCTGTGCCAATGTCTTCAAGGCTACTTCCTTTTCTAGGAGGTTCACTGTGGTTGGTTTTGTATTGAGGTCTTGGATTCATTTGAACCCGAATTTTGTGCATGGTGATAGATATGGATGTATTTGCATTCTTCTACATGTTGACATCCAGTTATTCCAGCACCATTTGTTGAAGCTTTCTTTTTTCCCACTGTATAATTTTAACTTCATCAAAAATAGGTATGTGGATTGATAACATGGTCTTCGATTCCATTCCATTGGTCCACCTGTTTTTATGCCAGTATTAAGCTGTTTTCATTACTGTAGCTCTATAGTAGTTTGAAGTCAGGTATGGTGATGGCTCCAAAAGTCCCTTTATTGTATAGGATTTTTTTTTTTTTTTTTTTTTTGACTATCGTGGGTGTTTTGTTTTTCTGTATCAAGTTTTTAGTATTGTTCTTCCAAAGTCTGTGAAGAATTTTGCTAGGGATTACACTGAATCTGTAGATTGCTTTAGGGAGGATTGCCATTTTTACTATATTAATCTAATCTATCCAAGAGCATGGGAGAGCTTTCCATTTTCTGATGTCTTCTTAAGAAGTTCTTATCATGCAGGCTTTTCATTTGTTTGGTTAGTTACCCCAAGATATTTAATATTTGTGGCTACTGTAAAGGGTGGTTTTTTTTTTTATTTCTTTCTTAACTTGTTTATCATCTGTATATAGGAGGGCTACTGATTATTTTGAGTTAATCTTGTATCTTGCTATATTTACTGAAGGTATTAATCAGTTGTAGGATTTCCCTGGTGGAATTTTTGGAGTCACTTATGATGTATTTCTTAATAAACTTGCTTGGCATATAAATCAGCTTCTGGAAGTACTCCAGGGTCCCAACTATTACTGCTTTTGTCTTCTTTATTTCTCCTCTTTCTCATCAATGGTCCTCCCATTCAACACCTTGCTGTGATCAAGGACCATACTCCTACTGTTTGTGTCAACCCACCATTTCTGGACTTTTCATTCTGTGCTGACAAGTTGTTAGAACTCTAAAATCTCTCCTGGAGACAAGTTCCTTTTCTAGCTGGCGTCTTTTCCTACTTCCAGCACGAGATTCCTGGAGGAATTCCCATTTCTTTGGGATCTATTATTTCAAATTTCTGATATTGAGATTGGAGGAATTTCAGCTTAAGAGTTGTAGTCTAACATGAAGGGAAGTCAGGGTGGGTACATGAGGCTATGGGAACCTTGGCTTGTGCAGCTTGCTTTCCTTATAGCACCCAGGACCTCCTGCCTAGGGGTGGTATTACCCCTGTGAGCTGGGCCCTTCTACTTCAACCATTAATCACGAAAATGTCCTACAGGCTTGCCTAAAAGCCATCTGATAGAGGCATTTTCTCAACTGAGGTTCCTCTTCCCAAATGACTTTAGCTTGTGTCAATTCTAAGTTTGTATAGAAAGCCAACCAGGACACCCATGCTCTCAGTGACAACCCTCAGCATTATTCCATTAAAGTTCACTATGGGTAATGAATAAGATTTTTGGGCTTCCTTAGAGCATTAGGTGAGGTACCCCCACCCAACCAGTTGCATCTGTAAAGTCTTTACCCAGGAGGAATAAGAGGCCCCCTCCCCTAGTCTTCCTAGGCTTAACTATTCTGATGTTCCATGTAATTAACATACATCAGATGACAGGGAACAGCTGCATTTCACCACCCTTTCAACCCTGTGGCTGGATACAAATAGTCAACAACAAACAGTCAAGCTGGGATTTTTTTTTTTTTTTTTTTGGCAAGGGGCTCAGCTGAACTCCAGAATGGTAGTTCCCTGGCTCCTAGAACAATGTCACAACATAGGTCCTGCCTCTCCAGTGGCCTGAAACTCACTGTATAGACTTAGGTTAATCTTGAATTCATGACAGTCCTGAATTTGCCTCATAAGTACTGACATTACGCTTTTTTAATTTATTTTAGGACTTATATGTTAGCAGATCCCTGGAGCTGGCATTACTGTCACCTGTAGGTGCTGTCAGCAAAACTTACTATCTTCAGCTGAAGGAGCAAGTGCTATCATCCATAGCCACTTCCAGCCCAACTATGGCTTTGGATCACAGTTTTATACAAACCCGAAGACAGGAATTTCAAAGTTTCCTGAACAATGAAATAGTTAAGTGCTTAAGGGTAGAAAGTGCTAAACTGTAATCTATGTTCTCCATAAATGTACATAATTTTAAAAATTGGATGTGTGGAAGCTAGGAGTGTGGTCAGTGGAAGTACACTTTTGTAGCAGGGTCTGAGGATCAATTCCTAGCATTGAAAATGTTTTTTAAAAGAGCATTATATAAAAACTTAGTAGGCAGTAGACGAATTCCAAAGCACTGACAGCAGCCTACAGCCTCTGTATGATATGGAAAACCAGACACAGAGGCATAACTGAGCTGAAACAACAGATCACAAATTCAGGACCCAAGCTACAATGACTGAAATGTGCAGAGGGAAAGCATGGTGCATCCCGTGAGCAAGAGGCTCTACTGGTTTAGAAAAGAAGTGTGCAGGAGAGCAGCTGCAGAGTGTATGCTCAGCATGCGGAGCCCTTCAGTCCCTGGAAGACCCCAAGGACGCAGCTGTAAACCATGTAATGCTTGCCAACTCTTCTCACCTCAGGATAGATTCATGTTGAAGACCCTGGTGTCCATCAGCAGTACCAAAAAGAAAATTATACTTTTTTTTCCAAGGAGAATTCACTAGTTTCTTCCATAGATGTTTAACTGTTTTAAAACATGCCTATGTCTAGCTTTAACTCAAAATACTCTTACTTCAGCCTCTCGAGTGTTAAAGTTATAAGTGTACCATATGCTCTCAGAGCACAGAATATCTCTGAAGTGTTTCATGGGTTTTTTTCAGAACATGGGAACATCCTAACTACTGCCCATTCATTTCTGAACCATTCCACCCCCTTTTAATGTAGCAGGAGGCTAAGATCCAAACACACCACTTATGGGAACCTGGTGGGGAGTCTTTATTAAAGCCCTCATTGACCTCACTGACATGAGTAGGAAGCTCCAGGTGAGCTACACCATTCTTTAATTTTTCACAATGGATTTGTTTCTCAAGCCCCTTTGTAAGAAGGAGTATTTATCAACACACCTTCTACATTCTAGATACTTCCCAAACCTTACATCCTGTCAGCATCTATGGATGCAATTTCTTTGCATCTTTTTGTCAGCAGTTAAAAAGGAACCTTGAGGTTTCCTAGTGACTTTCCACCAAGGCTGGAACTCAAGGATCTGCCTGCCTTGTATTGAAAGCTTTTTATAGCATAACAATTTCTTTGTTTCAAAAAGGCATTAACACAGGTAGACTGAAATCCAGAGGGCATTTGCATCAGTGTCATTACACAAGAGTATATAAACCTTGAGAAGAATTCCATTAGAAAATATTGTGACCAAGAAAATATTGCTTGCCTTTAAATAAATATAAGTGGCAAAAAAATTAAATATACTTAAAGAGCCATTTTCACAATTACAAAGTTTACATGTAAGGATCCCAGGGAAGGACACCTGAAGTCTTAACCACATACCTGCTATGGAGGAGGACCAGCTGTTTATGATGAGACTGGCTCTCCAGGCTGCGTCCATGTTGTACATGTGTTAAGTTGCTTTTCAGACACCCAGGCTGCTTGATCGGCACTGTTAACGGCAGATCCTCTCTCCTGCACCAGTGCCTTTTCCTGTTTCTCTGAATCCCCTTTCTCCCTGGTTTCTTTGCCCCTCTGCAGTCCTTTGTGTTCCATCAGGGAAGCCAGCCCAAACTCTCCTTCACTCCTGCCTGTCATTTCCCTCTATCTTACATCACAAATATACTTCTAGTCAAAAGGAAACCAGTATGCCACTGTAAGCAGGATCCAGTTAAAGAGTATTCACAGCAGGACTGATCCTGTAAGATTTCTTACCAAAACAGGACCAACAAAGTCATGTGACTGAGGTTCTGATAAAAAGAAACCTGTTAACAGGCCATCTGCTAGGGTGTGGCATGCATCCACCAGTTCTATCAAAAGAGGCTGCAGGCAGATACTCCACACTAAGCCAGCACTAGAGGCATCAGCATTGACTGCTATGCCCACTGTGAAATAATACACACGACAGTTGATTTTCCTTCTGTTCACAGGAAGCAAAGTGCAAACACACAACCTAGGTCCCTTTAGATACTGGCCCAAGTCCAACATGGAAGCTGGACATCTGAGGCACAGAGAGTCAAATGTAGAGTTCAGTGGTGGGGCTCATGGGCTCTGCGGAGAACAGTAGAGCTCAATCACAGATCCTTGAGATGAGTGGGGACTGGTCTGGCATGTACAGCACAGGTGGGGAGCCCACACTACTGGAAGGACTTCGAAAGTGGGTGTCAAAGGAGCTTGGGGTAAGGCCAATTACTGCATCGATCTGGGGCACTTCACCTTTCAAAAAGTCATCGTCTTCGTCTTCCACTAGCTCCTGTGTAAAGAACAGAGTGTTGAGGATATCACAGTACCAGTCAAAAAGTCTGGCAACCTGAGTTTAGAACAACATGTGAAAGGAATGAACCAAAACCCCGACAAGTTGTCCTCTGACATGGTGTACACAAGTACAAACACACACGACTTTTTTGGTTTTGTTTTTGAGCCTTTTGACACAGGGTCTCTGCATTTATTCCTGACTGTCCTGGGACTCCCTCTGTAGAACAGTCTGGCCCGAAAACTCAAGAGATCCTCCTGCCTTCCCTTGCCTTCTGGGTGCTGGGATTAAAGGTGTACACCACTATGCCTGGGTCTAATTATTATTATTATTATTATTATTATTATTATTTTTATTGTATGCAATGAGCATTTTTCCTGAGGAGGTCAGAATAGTGTCGGATCCTCTGGAACTAGAGTTATACATATAAGTGGTTGTGAGCTGCTAGGAGCTGATGACCCATCTCTCCTGGACCCCCCCCCCCTTTTTTTTTAAGTAAAGTTTAAGAATTCCTTTCCTGAGCCAGAGAAATTACTCAGTCAGTAAACAGGGAGAAGACTGCAGACTCCATCCCCAAAACTGAAGTAAAAAGAATCCCAGCACTGGGAAACAGAACTAGCCACCAAGCCTAGCCTAACTGGCATGTCTCAGGCAAAGAAAGCTTCTATCTCAACAAATCCATTATGATACTGAATATATGGGTCAGAATACTACAGACAATAACATCACTCATTTCCTCTGGAGCAGTGGTTTCCAACCTTGCTAATGCCTCTATTCTTTAATATAGTTCCTCATGGGGTGGTGACCCGCAGCCATAAAGAGTCACCTCCAATGGGGTTGTCTTAGATCTAAGTTCCTGCTGGGTAGGACAATGCTGGGTCCATGTAAAGAGGCTTGAGGAATGACATAAATCTGTTTACTCCTGAGGATTCCAAAACAGGGGCATACTTTACAATGAGCTGAGTGGAATTTGTACTTGGTGACAGACAGATGGGGGCAGTAAAACTCTGTTATGATCTCACTCTATTTGTTTTTAGACACGGTCTCATTCTGTAGCCACAGTAATCCTCCCAAGTACTGGAATTACAGGCCCTTCTATTCTCAGCTTTTTCTCTCTCAGCTCCCCATTGTATACCCCCAGACAAGAGTCTCACTATGAAGCAGACAGGCCCTAGAATTCTTGATTTTTCTGGCCTTAGCCTCCCAAGTGCTTAAGACAATGGGCATGAGTCAACTGACACACCTAGCTTTGCAATGCTTGGGTGGAAGCCAGGGCCTCAAGCATGCCAGTCAAACACTCTACCACTAAGCCATATTACAGCCTGCAAGCTAATTTCCAACGAACTTTTACCTCCCAAAGTCATTATACAACGTACTTGACTATTTAAAAGAAAACATGACTTGGGCTGGTAAAATAGCTCAGCTGATGCACTACAAAAGCATGAAGGTCTGGCTTCAATCCCCATAACTTACAGTTTTATCAGGCTGGCAGTGGTGGTGCACAACTTTAATCCCAGCACTTTGGAGGCAGAGGCACGAAGATCTCTTTGAGTTCGAGGCCAGCCTAGTCTTCAGAATGAGTTCCTGAACATCCAGAGCTAAACAAAGAAACTTCCTCCTATTCCCCAATACCCAAACAATAGTAAAAATAAAGCCAGGCATGGTGGTGCATGCTTTTAATCCCAGCACTCAGGAGGCAGAGGCAGGAAGATTTCTCTGAGAGGACAGCCTAGTTTAACAGTTTCAGGATGGCTAGAGAAACCCTGCCTCAAAACACCTAAATAAGTAAGGAAATAAATGGATAAACAATGAATAAACAAACAATGAACACGTGAAACCTTGCCCTTGGGAAGGTAGGTTCCCTGGGCTGGCCACACTAGCCTACTTGGCAAACTCAAGTCAGTGAAACACTCAGTCTTATAAACCAAGGTAGCTCCTAAGGCCCAGCACCAAGGCTGACTTATACATACACATGCACACACCTGATCCCACACATGTATATACAAACATATACAAAAGAATTGCCTAGTATGGTGGCAAGCAGCACTCAGCCAAGGGGAAGGGAGGGCCCCAGACCTTCATGAGACCCCCATGATAGAAATAAACAGAACACCACAAATCCTTTCTATTACCAAAAACATAATCTAAGCTTGGGCTTAAACAGTGTTTACTGTGGCCTGTAACTACATGAGACTTTCACCAAGTGCCTCCATCACAAATTACCTTTTTAGTAGGCTTCTTATATTCTTGTAGCTCTTCAGCACTCATGTCTTCCCAAATTTGATAAATAGGATCGATAAACTTCTTAGACCTGCCAACAGGGATAGCAATCCAACGTAAAAACATAGCCCCAAATCCCAATCAATATCTCAGCTCTCTTCTAAAAGATCCATATCCCAAAGCAGGAAGTGACACTACAGGTGACAAGGGGGCTGTGAGCCCTGAAACCCCAGTCACATAGGGGAGCAATTTACCTCCCTGTCTCAGATTTCAAGGCCCACTTGTTTCTGGTCCATTGGTGACTGACAGTTTATAATTAATATAAGCCTCAGTGTGCTTATTTGGAACTGAAAGGCTGTGGGACTAGACTGGACAGAAACTCTGTCTACAATCCCAGCCTTGGGAAGAACAAGTGTGTCTCAGAGACAACTAAGAGGACCTACCTCTTAAGCACACAAGGGTCAAAGGGAAAAAACGTGTCCAGTGGGTTGGTGCAGGTCTGCACAGAGTCTCCACCAGCTGTACTTCTAATAACAGGAAGCATCTGACGATTGTTCCTCTCCATGATGGTGTAGCAGAACACAAGTTGGTACTTACTGTGGGACACACAACAAAGCAGATGAAGCAAAACCACACGGGTCACCCCTGTGGGTCCCGAGTACAGATTACAGATGTGATACAGACACTGTGGAGTGTAATGAGGGTGACAAGAAACAGGAACACTTAGGGTCAGCACTCTGAGCTTGGTATTTGTATATCTGCTGAGGAGGAAGGAAACAGTATTGAATCAGGTGGAGATTAATGGGTACTATGAAAATCTAGCATGATTGCAAGGTTACTCAGTACAATAGGAAAATGTCTGTTTTCTGATTTCAAAAAGATTCACTGTCTACTGGAGATCAAAAGTAGATCCAGTGGACATATTCTGAATTGTACTGAAGGACTTGACTAGAGCTGACTGGTTTTGTGAGACAGGGTCTCATCCTGTAGCCCTGGCAATCTTCCTACCTCAGCCTCACAAGTATTAGGATTATAGGCATGAACCACACACCAGCTGTGTTCCTTTTTCCCCATTCATACCTTTTATGTCTTCAGACAGGTTTTCACCATGGAGCAGACTGACCTTAAACGCTTGATTCTCTGGCCTTAGCGTCCCAAGTGCTAAGATGACAGGAATGAGCAGTTTTCTTTTTGTTTATTTTTTGCACAGTCCAGAGCCTAAGTACTCAAGTACATCTACTGCTAAGCCACACTACAGCCTGTAAGCTCATTTCCAGCCAACTGTGACTTCTCAGAGAAGGCATTATAGAAAGTGATTACTTTTTAAATTTGGGCTGGTGAGTATAACAAGGTGTAAAGTATGAGAGCCTAAGCCATACCCAGAACCTATATTTTAAAAAACAAATGTAGGTAATGGCTCAGCAGTTCAGCACTATCTTTTCTTCCAAAAGACACAGATTTGATTCCCTGAATCCATATGGTGGCTCATGAATGCTTGAGATCGGACACTCTCTACTGGCCCCTGTAGACACCAAGCACGAAGGTGCTACACAGACATATACACGCAGGCAAAACACTCATACACATAAAAATGAAAATAATCTTTTTTTTTTTTTTTTAAAGCTAGGTATAGCTAGGCATGGTGGCACACATCCTTAACTCCTCCTCCAGAGGCAGGAGGATCTTTATAACTTTGAGGCCAGCCAGATATACATGGTGAGTTCCACGACAGCCAGGGCTATACAGTGAGACAAAAAATACGCAAAAATAAACAACAACAAAAAGCCAGGTGCAGTGCTGGCACACGCCTTTAATCCCAGCACTCGGAAAGCAGAGGCAGGTGGAGATCTCTGTGAGTTCAAGGCCAGCTTGGTCTACAGAGACAAGGACAGATAAGGCTAGTCAAAAACCCTGTCTTGAAAAACAAAACAAAACAAAAAAATCAAAAATGAAACTACCCCCAAAACAACCAGGTGCAGTGCGTACCTTTAAATCTCAGCCCCAGGTAAAAGGAACTGTGTTCACTGACAGGAGTGCCGTTCTCAAGCAAAAATTCACTTAAAGATTTTCATGAAATTCAAGTGAGCATCAATGAAAATCAAACATGGTAGCACAATACAAGCCAAAGATAGACTGATTCCATATTTACATGTTGAACAGTAATGGTAGGAAAGAATTAAGCCTTTGCTTTCCGTGATTAAACCATTATATTCTTATAAGGGGAGAAAATTTGTGCATATAGTAAAAACACTATGATTCATGCCATGCTGCGGTCCTAAATCTGAGCCAGTTGTAGTGCAGAGCTCTGTGTTCAGAACCTAACGGGTGATGACGTGCCATGCACTTTCAGGAACGCCTCAGATTCTGAATTCACTGTTATGCATTGAAACTTTTTACTGTGGCTAAGTACTTCTTGAGAGCCATGCTCAGTTATCCCAACCTTTAACTACTAAGCTCCCTCCAGTATGTTTTGTAATATGCATTTGCCTGGACTAATTATCTGTAACTTATTTATACTTCTCAGCTCACTAGCTTGCCTATTAAGTATTTGAGAGTGCCTAGGCCACTCTAGATAAAAGTAGGCTTGACTCCCAGTGTTGCTGAAGAATAAAAAAGCTAGATGCAGTATTCTTTCAAGGAATACCATTACTGGGTTCTTCATGTGTGTTGCTCTAAAAAATGTACTGGAATTTACTCAATGCCAGAGCATATGGCAGCCAGCACAACCGTTCCACCCCTTGGCTTTTAAAATGTTCATAAAAGAAATGCAAATGACTCACTTTGTGACAGCAGCAAAAAAATTAACCACTGATGGTAGGCAGATCTTCAGAGGGTTCAGCTGGCTCAGTACGACACGCTCAAAGTTTAGACTCTGAAGATACTGTAAACCTTTGAGAAAAAAAAGGGGGGGGGTGTGCTAAGATTATCTTTAAAAGCACAAATTATTACACATTTAAAAACCAAATTAGCAGGGTGGTAATAGTACACACCTTTAATCTCAGAACTCTGAAGGCAAAGACAGGTGGATCTCTATGAGTTCAAGGCTAGCTTGGCCTACAGAATGAGTTTCAAGGCAGCCTCCAAAGCTTTGAAAAATCAAAGAAAAAGAAAAAAAAAAAAAAAAAAGAAATTAAGGGCTCTGTGGTAGAGCATGTGCTTAGGATGGGCTTGAGTTCCAGCATACCCCCAAAATAAGGATATTATCAAGAAGTTGTTTGTAGAAATACAGGAATGACATTCAAGCCAACTGTTGTTATTCAGTACAGCTTTTCTGAAGAAACCACACTTCCTGGCAGGTGAAGGATTACATGTGTGGTTAGAATAGGTCTTGCACCCCCCACAGATTCATGTTTGAATGCTTGGCCCATAGGGAGTGGTAGTATTAGGAGATGTGGCCTTGCTGGATGAAGTATGTCACCCTGAGGGCAGGGTATGAGGTCTCATATGTTCAAGCTTTTGCCTTGTGTGGCAAAGAGCCTCCTGGTGCCTGAGGATCAAAATGTAGAACTTTCAGCCCCTTCATTAGCACCATGTCTGCCTGCATGCTGCTATGGTTACCGCCATGATGACAATGGACTAAACCTCTGAAACTGTAAGCCAGCCCCAATTAAATATTTTCCTTATAAAATTTTCTGTGGTCATGGTGTCTCTTCATAGTAATAGAACACTGACTAAGTAAGACATATGACAAGCTGGACTCAGTATCTGACAGCTCAGGGCAGACCGAATGCAACAAAGGACAGAGACCATGGAAGCTGAACCCCAAAAGGCAACCAGAGACTCAGTCATAATTGCATAGCCAAAGCACCATTCTCAGGTGCTTGTTGTTTGTATTTCCTTCCTCTCCCCATCAGTCATCATAATATACACCGCTTTTAAAGCTAATGAATTCCCTCTTACAATGGAATCCTAGTCCAGGCTGGGGTACAAGGGTTATGAATTGAAGCTAACCTAGGATCCATTGTGGAATAACCTCAAAATTTTTTTTTAAACAAAATACAGACATATTTATTATTTTGCAGCCAAAAGACCAATTTATGTTTGTTTTCTTAGGAAGTTTTGCTATGTGTTTTCATTTAAAAATTACATAGGGGTTGGAGATGGCCCAGTGATTAAGAGCACTTATAGCTCTTGCAGAGGACATGAACTAAATTTCAAGCACCCATACTGTGACTCACAACTGTCTGTGGCTCCAGTTCCAGGGGATCTGATGACCTCTTCTGAACCCCATGGCACCAGGCACACACATGGTGCACAGACATACATGCAGGCAAAACTCCCATACATGTTCTATAAAATTATTTAATCTAATATATAATAATAATATATCAGACATATTAAAATTATTTAATCTAATATATAATAATAATATATCAGATATATTACATTATTATTTATTTATGATCACATAAACAAAGCTAGGTATGGCATTCCCCTTGAGAGAACCACTGGACTAGGAGGAAAGTCCTTCCGTGGCAAAACAAGGCCACAAGGGCAGAGAAGTGAAGGAGAAAGAACTCAAATAAAAGAATCAGAGATAGCCTTTGCTCGGAGTCCTTTGCAGTGATTTCTCTAATAGCTAACTAGCTAAACAATAAACAGCAGTGGGGAAAAACAGAAATTGCTCATTTCTGAAGTAAACCCAGAGTCTGACCTCTGTCTTCTGTTGCCCTCCTTTGTAGGTCCACGACGCCACAACTGCACTTGTGGTAGCAAACCCACATCAAGCCTCTTCACACATTTAAAAATAAGCATCAAACCAACCCAAGTACTGCCCCGACGGTTCAAGTACAGTAAGAAAACCCAGCCTGCACCCACATTACTGACCTTCCTTCAAGTTTCCACTCAAAAGCTGCTTGTGTCTAAAAACGAAAGTATAGAACACAGCTTGGCAGGCTGAATAAAATGGTCCATGGAGTGCAACATCACAAAAAGCCTTTGTTCCTGAATCCTGGTTATTAAGATACATGTGCAACCAGTTAACTAAAAGATCCAGGCATGACTTTACAGTGCTGCAGAAAGAAGAAAAGTTAGTGTTACTGTATTCATCAGAAAGCTAGAGACAGAAACACACACCTGTCTTTCACTAACCATTATACAAGGCTCAAATACGACCCATGGGCTAGGATGTAGCTCAGTGGTAAGCAATTGCTTAACATGCATGAGGTCCTGGGTTCCATTCCTAGCACCAAAAACCTTACCCATAGGCAGAAGAAAAAGGACAGATGGTAGGAAGTTGCCTTCCAACTTTTTCCCCCCCGAAACAGTGTTTCTCTGTAGCTGCAGCTATCCTGGAACTCAGTCTGCAGACCAGACTGGCCTTGAAATCACTGAGATCACCTGCCTTTGTCTCCCTGGTACTGGGACTAAAGAATGGCTTCCAATTCTGTGAGGCAGCACTTACTTCTGCAGAGCAGGATGTCCCAAGGAGCTAGGCCCAGAAACGCAGGCCTGTAATCCAACCCCACACTCACAAGACTGAAGGAGGGTTGGGAGCTGAGGTCAGCCTGGGTTCCAGAGCAAGACTTTACCTCAAAAAACAAATTGGAACAAAACAAAAGACAAAATACTTTCAGGGAGAGAGCTGAACTTCTCTAACTCAGCCAAGACTTCCTGGCTTAGCTCCCAGCCAGACAGCAATGTGGCTAAGAATCAGGCATCTTCCTATCTGGACTCAAAAACTGGAACCACAAGACTGAGTTGACTGGGGGGATGGCTTAGCAGCATCTCTGCCTGTATCTTGTAGAGCCCCTGAAGAAAACAGTCTCCTAAGTCTTAATGCTGGGGATGGGACCCAGGGCTTTTCAAGTTTTTTTTACCACTGAGCTCCATCCCACACTAATTACATTAAAAAGGGGTTTCTTCAGACCAAACAGACACAATTAATTTGGGAAGCAAATGAAAAACAACAAACCTACAAAAACTATCAAAACAATATAAAACATGGTGCTACCCATTGAACAGAGACAGGCTTTCAGGTTCAACACACAGATGCCTCATGGACCTATTATCCAAATGGAGACTTGTCCTTCTCAAACTACTTTTTAGAAATAATAACACCTTGGATTATACTGAACAGACTTTCCCCCTTGCTTTACAAAGATAGATCAAAAATATAAGACCTATTTCTTTGACTTGAGACAATACTATAATCTCCTTAAAGCAAAACATTAAAAAAAGCATTTGGAAAATTAGGTTACTTACATAAGAGGAATAAATTTAGCTCTTGCCAAAAAGCTCCCAATGTAATTCGCAGCAGCTTGCCTGATGATGGCGGGGTTATTTGGATCCTGTAACTTTTTCCAGAGATGTTCCAAAAATGCTTCTGCAAATCCCTGTAACAAGAGACTGCTGGCTTGATATTTCTTTTCTTTTCCTTTCCCTCCCTCTCTTCCTTCCTTCCTTCCTTCCTTCCTCTCATTTTTTCAAGCAGAGTTTCTCTGTAGTTTTGAAGCCTGTCCTGAACTAGCTCTTGTAGACCAGGCTGGTTCCGAACTCACAGAGATCTGCCTGCCTTTGCCTCCCAAGTGCTGGGATTAAAGGCATGCGCCTCTGGCGCCGCCACCACCCAGGTGGCTTGATATTTCTAATGCTGAAAATATTTTGGCTCTCAGCATCCTGAAGGCATTATCTAACAATGCAATTATACAGCTAAATAAAGAATAGAGAGGTCATAGTTCTTACTTAAAAGCAAAACCCTAGCAGATCCACCTCTCCTATCACCGCTCATCCCTTTGTGTTAGCCACTGATACCTAGAAACACTCTCTACCAATGAACCACACTGAGCTAGGACTCAGGTAGGCTATTTCCAGTCTCCTTGTCATCCACCACAATCACTCCAGGATCATCCCCAGCCCTGTAGCAGCCCATTCGTAGGAGCCTCTCCTCCCTCCATCTATTCCGCTGGGACTCTGCCACACCTTGGCATGCATGCAACTTTACTTCTCCCTATGGACCTTCTTTCTCAGCACACCACCCCCTTCTAACCCATCCCCATCCTTGTGTCAGCCCCCATACCTAGAAATACTTTCTATCCCAAAGGCCCCCAGAGACCATACCTGGCAGGATAGGTGAATCACACTGTACTCCATTAAGATCTTTCCATTCTCATCCTTAGCCCAGTGATAACCTGCTTGCAAGAGCCCCTCCACCCCCATCTCTGAAACTAGACCCAGGGTAATCCTAGGCCTTTCATCTCTGTCTCTCTTTAATTTTGTAGCTTAATGTAACCTACTGCTAGGATCCCCTGATCCTACCATTATTTCCAACTCCTTGTGGACTCCACCTCTAGGTGTGAACAGGATCACCTTAGGTCTTTCCTGAAGTCCGCCCCCCCCAGCCTTTTCTCCTAGCCTATCTCTATTCCTTCTCCTCTGCCCCCACCCACCTCCAGAAGCACTTACTACAAAACAACTCACAGCCATCACTACCCTAAGATCCAGAGAAGGCAATAGAAACTAAGGAATGGAACAACCACCCAACAAAGACTAGACTAGATATCAACACCAAGAATCTCCCCAATCAATCCCAAACCCCGGATGCCTAGACACCATGGCAAAACACAAATATTAACAGCCAAGACAATACGTCCGTCTCCTAGCCCTCCTAGGGTAGACCCTGAGAAATGCAACACAGCTGTGAGAACAAGATGAGAATTTGAAAATAGCAATTATGAATATGTTCAAGAACCTTAAAGACATGAATAAATCCCTTCATGAAGTCTGTGAAAACACAAACAGTAGAATGAAATAATGAAAACAGTTCAAGACATGAGGTAGAAGAGAAAAAACAAAACAAAACAAAAAGCCAGGTGGTGTAGTGCTAACCTTTAATTAAAGGAAAAAAAAAGTCTTGGGCTAAGTCTAACCAAGCAAGTGACAGATCTATCTATCTATCTATCTATCTATCTATCTATCTATCTATCTACCTACCTACCTATCTATCTATCAAACACACACACATACACACGCTTTACACACTGAAGAAAATACCAGAAGATGGAAAGATCTTCCAGGCTCATGGATTAGTATGATTACTATAGTGAAAATAGCCACCCTACAAAAAGCAATCTACAGATTCAACATAATCCCCATCAAAATCCCAACATAGTTTTTCACAGAACTCAGCTTCGTATGGAAATACACATACACAAAAGCAGGATTGTGAGGCATTTACACACTGTGTGAAGGTGTATTGCTGTGATTGGTGTAATAAAAAACTTAACGGCGATAGCAAGGCAGGAGGTATAAATGGGATTTAGGGGAGAGAAAGGAAGAGAAAGAATCTAGGCACACAAAGAAATATCAGGCCAGGAGACACAGAAGGAGCAGGAAGGGCAGTATGCAACAGAATGTAGATTAATAGAAATGGGTTAATTTAAGTTATAAAAGCTAGCTAAAAATAAGATTAAGCTAAGGCCAAGCTTTCATAATAAGTCGCCATGTCATTAATTTGGGAGCTGGTGCTATAGAAAAAGATTCATCATGCAGGATAGCTAAAATGATCCTGAATTATAAAAGACCTGCTGGAGGTATCACCATCCCCTATCTCAGATGGCTCTACAGAGATATAGTAATGAAAGCTGCATGATATCGGCACAAAAACAGAAATGTTTATCACTGGAATAGAACTGAATATAAGCTTACACACCTATGGACACTTCTTTTTTTGACAAAGAAGCCCAAAGCATTGGAAAAAAGATAGTATCTTCAACAAATTGTACCAAGTCAAATCAAACTGGATGGCTACATGTAGAAGAATGCAAACAGATCCATATTAATCACCCTGCACGAAACACAACTACAAATGAATGAAGGACCTTAACATAAGGACAAATACCTTGACTCTGATAAAAGAGAAAGTGGGGCATGGTCTTGAACTTATTGGCATTGGAGAAGACTTTCTGAACAGGACACTGACAGAAAAGGCACTAAGAACAATAATGGGACACCATGAAATCATAAAGTCTTTAATCTCAGCAACTCAAGAGGCAGAAGCAGGCAGATCTCTGAGTTCAAGGACAGCTGGACTACAGAGCAAGTTCCAGGACAGTCAGGGATACGCAGAGAAATTCTGCCTCGGAAAAACAAAAACAAACAAACAAAAAGCCACACAAATATCTCTGGGGTTTGTGGGCCAGAGATGGCCCAGTTGGTAGTTTGCTTCCCTTGCAAGAGCTGGATTTGACTTCCAGTACCACCATAAGGGAGGAAAAGAGCACCATCTAGTGACCAAAGGCAGGACAACATCTTGAGTGTATCTGTACAGTAGTTACTTAACACTATTCCAATTTTAAAACATGCATGGATACTCACAATTAAAAAAATAAATTTTTATCTGGGCATGGTGGTACATGTCTCTAATCCCAGCACTTAGGAGCTAATGGCACTCAGATCTCTGAGCTCCAGCTAGCCAGGATTAGATAAGACCCTATAACTCACTCACTCGCTTGCTCGCTCACTCACTCATCCACCCACTCACCCACCCACCCACTCCATCAGCATGACAATGCCATTTTACTTACCAACTTGAAGCTGCAAAGGAAAAACATGAAGAACTGTACATGACAGGAAGCATGTGTGGGCAACAGGAGTTTGTCAAAGATGGATATCAGATCACGGTATAATTCCTTTGTTTTATTGTTGTCAATCTTACCTACAGAGAAAATTCAAACTTTAATTTCATAAATACATTTTTTAGTTTTTTTTTTGTTTGTTTATTTGTTTTATTTTCAAGACAGGGGTTCTCTGTGTACTAGTGCTAGCTATCCTGATACTAGCTCTGTAGACCAGGCTGGCCTTCAACTCAGAGATCCTGCTGCCTCTGCCTCCTCGGTCATAAATATGTATTTTTAAAGGGACACTATATACCATTAAGAATCAGCATTTGGGTCAGGGCTGAACATTCATGAGACCCCACCTGGGGGTGCAGAAAGCAAACCCAAACAAAAGTAAAACCCCCAAATTATCCATTAAGCTATTGCCACAAGAGTATTTAAACGGCTGACTTTGCTTTCTGAATGTGTACACCTTCTGGGCAAGGGTCATAGGACTTAGGCTGGACTTTTAAAGCAGACAGGCACTGTTCCATTCTGAGTCATCGCAATGGCTCCAGACTGTTTTATTCGGTGTAATCCCATAGAGACAAGGCATCAAGCCTGTACATCCATCACACACTGCTGTGAAGTAACAAAAATGATCTTTCCTTTTTGAGGGAAAGAGACGGAGGTGTTCTTTGAAGTCAGGGTTTCAGTGAATAGCCCTGGCTGTCCTGGAACTCACTCTGTAGGTAACTGCAATTCATTAAGGAGTAAAGGCTGATCTTGAACTCATGTTCTTCCTGCCTCTACCTCCTAGGCTTTGTCTGGGATTATAGATGTGCACCACTGTGCCAGGCTTCCAAATCTATGCTGAATAAACTCATTGTTTTATGTATTTATTTTCAGACAAGAGCTTGTGTGTGTATCCCTGGCTAGCCTGAGACTAGCTCTATAGACCAGGCTGGTCTCAAACTCAGAGATCCACCCGCCTCTGCCTTCCAAGTGCTGGGATTAAAGGCATGTGCCACTATGCACAGCTAATAAACTCATTATTAAACCACAGCAAAGTGCATGGACATGCAGGCTCTAGGCTGTTTCTAGAGGACTGGTTTGCTCAGTGAAGTTAAAGTCCCAACAACGGGCATAAAGAAGGCATCTAGCCAAGGCCTCTCAAGGAACTATACAATACAGGTGATTAACACATCATTATTAAATTTCTTGAGCATCTCAAACACAAGTGATCTCTTCTAAAGTCGGCCAGTTTCCATCTATTACAACAGTGAAAACACCACAGTCTTTGACGTTAAATACTGGAATCTTAATCGCATTCCCCCATTTTCAAGCTGTGTGACACTGGCATGGAAGTTGATCTGTTTGACCCTTTCTCATTTCATTCTTAAGAAACCGGCCAACTGTATAGGTTCCTCTGGTTGTTACCATCTACATGGCAGACATCCTTAATGTAGGACAGAAGCAAGGACAGGAGGATGTCCAGACGTTCAGCGATGGGGTGAGCCATCTGGCTAGGCCGATCCAGGGCAGCTTTCTTTTCAGATTCAGTATCCTCATCTTCATCCTTTGAGGGTATGAAAACTGACATTATGAAAAAAATCACTGAGAGTCTTTAATGTTTGGGAAAATTGGCATAGGCTATTATTTCTTGTAAAACAGAAGAGTAAATGAAGACACTGTCCTAGACTCTCATTTAGAGATGTGGTTCAAAATCACTTCTCGAATTATAAACAATTACCAGTCTCTTTCCTTGTATTTTTTGGGGTTCTGGGAAATGGGGTGGGTGGCAGAGTGGGAGGACTGGCACTGGTCCCTCATGCACACTAAGCTGTATTCCCAGCCCTGACTCTCAGAATAGCCAAACACAACTGGCTATGCCAACAGCACATTCCCATCCCTGATCTTGGTGACTTCTGTAGCTGCACTGTTGGAGCTGAGTCACCAGCTGCTGCGCTGTCAACAACTCATAGCTTCTCCAGTCACAACCTCAGAACCAATGCCACGGAGTCAAAAAAAGGCATAGAGCCAGCAGGATTCTCAGTGAGTAAAGGTGTTTTCCACCAATCCTAGTGACCGGAGTCTCATCTCCAGAATCTACATGGTGAGTACAGATTCCAGAAAGCTGTCTAAGGCACAGCTACTTCCTGCCACATCCAAGAAAACAGGCACTCACTTAGCTTCACCCCAACTTTCTTGTTCTCTAATGCCTAGCTTCAAGAATACCTCAACTCAACTCAAACTCTGGGCAGTCGAGCTCCATATCACACATCCCTTCCAATTAGAGTGACTACTTTAAGGAATCTAACTGGCAAAACACTAAACTGGGACACACTCTGCTTGCTGTTTCCTCACAGATGCTTGTGATTTAAGGAAACAATGGGGAAAAAAAAAAGCATGAAAGTGAAACAATCTCCCCAAAAATCAATCTTTAAGCTTTGGACATAAACCATTTATAAGCAATAAATACCATGTCAGCACTGAGCAAGGTATCACAAACCTGTAAACCCACAACATACTTATTTAAGGAGGCAGTCTTAAGTTTGTTAAACTATTTCATTTATGTATTACCACAAGTATGCTAGGAGACACACATGTGCCCATACATGTGGAGGCCACAGGCTGCTTGGTTTGTTCTTTCTTAGAAATGCTGTCCACCTCCAAGAAAGGGTCTCTCACTAACAATTACCCTAGACTGTCCAAGGGTACTCCTGCCTGTGCCTCACTAGTGCTGGGATTCTGAACGCATATTACCACCCAACATTTTCCTCTGGGTTCTAGGAGTCAAACTTAGGTCCGTATATGTAAAGGAAAGCACTTTTCCAACACAGCTACTCTTCCAGTCCCTCCACTGTTCTAACAGAAAGCCTTGAAAAAGGCTTTAAGCCTATTAAAGGCTTTAAGCCATTATCTGTGTCTTTCCACACTGAAATGATGGACTTCAATGTATACTTCTGTTTAGGACAAGAATCAAAACACAAGATAAAAATCAACATCAGAACAACAAGGTGCTGACCATATTAAACAATCCTTCTGTGGTATCTGTCCCACAAGTCTGAGCTGCTGCCTCTTCAGCATCTTCAATATCCTGGCGGGATACACTCACCTATATCATAAAAACATAAATGAAAGCAGTTAAAAATGCAGCTTTTTGTAGTAAAAATTAATCTACTATATATACTATTGTTGTGAAATATTACTTTAACTAGGCAAAGATGTTTTACATTTATTTATGCTGTGGAATGAATATTACTTTAACTGCGTAAAAGTGTATTACATTTGTTTGTGCTGCATTTTTTAATTATGTAAAGGTATGTTGCATTCATTTCACTTTGATTGCCAAAGGCACCCAATTGTTCTAAGAAAAAGCCTAACAGTCAATAAGTAGGCAGGGAGAGAAAATAAATAGGAGGAGAAATATAGGCAAAAGGGAAGAGGGGAGGAGATAGGGAGAAAGAGAGGAACTCGATATGCCCAGGGCCAGAAGCCAGGCAGACAGCAGGAAAGTAAGATATATTGGAAGAAAGAAGAGGGAAGGGGAGCGGAAAGAGAGAGGAAATCGACAGGTAAAAAGCCCCAAGACAAAATGTAGATGAAGAGAAACAGATTAAAATAAGAGCTAAGTTCTCGATCCAGCCTCCATTTGGGGCCTGGGGATTTTATTCACGTCTCCATTTGTCTCCCTGAACTATCTTTTCTTTCTCTTGTTTCTAACTTGTAAATAAAGAAAACATTGTTGAAAAACAAAACAAAAAAGAAAAATAAGAGCTAAGGTGGAGAATTCATAACTATTAAGTCTCTGTGTCATGATTTGGGAGCTATTTGATGGCCCACAAGAAAGCCTGCTATATACGTTGTTTGATTTTTAGACAGGGTCTCTCTACATTGCCCCGACTGTCACTGAACTCACTTTGTACACCACGCTGACCTCAAACTCACAGAGATGCCTCTGCCTCCTGAGGGCTGGGATGAAAGGTTTGCATTACCACATCCAGCTTACTTTTATATATTTTAAAGGGAGCCATCAGCATCTCATAAAGTGCTACAACATAACAGTGGTACAAAATACCACATAAAGAAGTTGAAACATTGTAAGGCAAGCCCTTTACCAGTGTACCTAACAGAGGTGTGATGTGACACTATCATCAGGCTCAACACAATGACATTCATTCCACCTCTTTCAAAAACCAAGTTACACACGTCATATATACGTGGTCATATTATTCAAATTGTAACTATTCTTACTGCCTATGCATGATCTTTGCAGACATAATTTAAAATATCCCTTCAGAATGTAAGAGACTTCACAGGGTTTATGTATGCAGCTAGACAGGATGTAACACCAAGAAAACAATATCAGAATATACAACTTCTAGCTCTTCCTAAATCTACCTCTTTCCATCTCTCTGCTCCCTACAGTGTTTTTGTCAGCCTATATGGTAGCACATAACAGTAATCCCAACACTAGGGAGACTGAGACAGAGGATCTAAAATTCAAGGCTATCCAGAGCTACAGAAACCCCCAGAAAGAAAGGAAGAAAAAAGGAAAGGAAAGAAGAAAGAGAGAAAAAGTCTTCTTTATATTTATATTTCTCTTATTGATGAAAAAAAGAGTTTGGCCAATAGCCAATAGAGGCTGGAAGACAGGCGGGACTAGGAGACGAGAATTCTGGGAAAGGTAGACAGAGAGCCCACCAGAAAGAAATGTCATGGAATAGGATGCATCCAGTAATATAAGGCAAAGTAGAAATACATAGATGAGCAGTTATAGGTTAATAATTAAGACAGAGCTAGCCAGTAAGAAGCCCTAGCCACTGGCTAACAGGTTAATAATTAATATAGCATCTGTGTGCTTGTTTGGGGCTAAAGCAGCTGTTGGACCTAATGGGATAAGAAAAAAAACTACAGTAACAGTCCAGTTCATAGCTCCTATGTCTTTGTATGACTGTGTATGCCTGCCCCTGCTGTAAGACTAAACTGTTTACAATTATCAGAAAATAGATGAAATTCAAGAAGTATAACTAGAATGAAGTAAATAACTGGATCGTTTTCCCCTGTTGTTATTTATCTTATTTTGGGTTTCTATTGCTATGAGACACCATGACTATGGCAACTCTTATGATACACTTCCTTCAACAAGGCCATACCCATTCCAACAAAACCACAACTCTTAATAGTGTCACTTCCTGAGATTATGGAATTATAATCCATAAGTGAAAACAAAGAAAACATACAGGTGATCCAATACTTACATCTAACTTGAGTAACTTTTCAATAATAAGCTCCAGAATTTCATGCCTCAAAGTTGGAAAATACACACTTATCCTTAGTAAGTTATGAACATAGCATTCCTAAAGTATGAGACATGATAAGATAAAGAATTCAGCACAGTATTTCAGGAATAAGCAAAACTTCAATTACACAAGGTTTACTTTAAATACATGAATAGAAAAGGAACTCTCAGTTCAGAAACTGCACTGTTCAAAAACCTCCATATAATTAATCTAATCATCCCCCCAGCAAATGTTTCTACTTAGTAATATACTATTACCTTCTGGTAACTCTAGCGTTTTTTTATTTTTCCTTTAATTTATTCATCTGTGGTGGGGGGGGGAATTAAACCCAGGAGGTTGTGCATGATACGTAAGCACTCTGCCACTGAACTATATATGCAGCCTCCCAAGTAAGCATTCAACCAAAAAATATTTCAGGAAAGGAATCAGACACCAGGAGTAGTAGCTCACAATTATAATCCCAGCACTTAGAAGGCATTGAGGCCAGCTCAGGGCACAGATTAAGACCCTGTTTCAGGAAATATAACAACATGAAGAAAAGAATATGAGAAATGTTTGATTTTTTTTTTGGGGGGGAGATATGGTTTCACACTGTAACTCAGGCTTGCCTCAAACTTCCCAACTGTCAAGATCACAGGCCTACATACACCACAGTGGAGCCTTGAGTTTAAAAATCCAGAAAGGCATTTTTAAAGATGATGATGATGATAACAACAACAACAACAACATCTACAATAAAGTCACAAAAAAATATTTCCATGAAAGATTTCTTACCAATGTTCTCTCTGATTTTCTCACAAATGGAAATTTGTCTACCAATATCGGCATTAGAAACCATGGTGTCCTATTAGAAAAAAAAAAAAATATCCAATCCATGTTAATTGGACTTTCTAAGAACAATAAGGACATAAGAGGAAAAAAAGGAACCCTACCTCAAGCAGTTAAAGGCCCAAATCAAGGGAGTTTCAAAGAAAAATCTAAAGATTAATAGACTTTAGTTTAAGAACATGTATCAGTACATACGTATATTATTTAAAGAGGCAAAGCATCATTAACTTGGTATTTTTGATTAAGGCAGGGTCTTACGTAGCCCAGGCTAGTATTACACTGTGTGTAGCCAAGGATGAGCCTAAATGCCTGATCCTCCTGCCTCTACCTTCCCAACTGTTGAGGTTCCACATATACTTTTCCCCAGTTAATAAAAGTATCAGTAATATTCTATACTGCCAAAGAAACCCACAAGTCTTCTGCTTTTTTGATAACTGGATTTTATCCATATGACAGTGTACATACAGGTTCTCAGTCAAAGTATTTGAATATCACATCTGTTGAAGATAAAGCAAAACGCCACCGTCTACACAAAAGCAAAGCAAGGTATAAGTATTATGTGTAAACTAATTATGTTAAATAGTTAAACAGGCCTGACATAACTCAGAGGGAAGACATTTGCCCTCAGGCCTGGCATCTGAGTTTGAGCTCCAGCTACAAGGTAAAGTGGTAGAATGGAAACTACTAATAGATGTCCTCTAACCAGAACCATGGCATACTTCAGCATCTGTTCCTACACCCACACACAAATTAAATCTTTAAATAAATAAGACAATACAAATTAAAATAACAAACATAATGAATAAAAAACAGAAAAAATTTTCAACATGTTTTATCAGTACAATTGAAATAGCAATACAACGAAGTTTTTAATGCTATTAACACTCTGTAATCTACTCTTCCTTCATCTCTCTCTTCCTTTCAAAGCTGTGTGCATATATTACAAGCAGGTGACCTACTAGAACTAAGCCCCATGCTATTAAACTAAACATCATAATTCAAAATCAACAAAAGAATACTCACGATGGGACATATCTTGTTATTATTTGCAAGGCTCTATGGCATGTGTCAAAAATTGAAGGAAGATCTACAAGGAAAAATATGAAAGTATGAACATCAAAACTAAAAACTGCAAAATTCCTAAAGTTTCTAACCAAAACTCGGGGGGGGGGGGCGGGGGTGCCAGAGGCAGGCAGATTTCTGGGTTCGAGGCCAGCCTGGTCTACAGAGTGAGTTCCAGGACAGCTAGGGCTGTTACACAAAGAAACCCTGTCCTGAAAAACCAACCAACCAAACAAACAAACCGGGCAGTACACTCTTATAACCCCAGAATTCAGGAAGTAGGGGCGAGAGGATCACTAATTAAGGTCCTCTTCAGCTACATAAATTCAAGGCCAGTTCAAGGATATATAAGGCCCTGTCTCCAAAAGAAGGTTACTATTTAATTTAGAAACAAACTTAAGGTGGTTACTGCACACCATGAATGTGTCAAAAAAAAAAAAAAAAAAAAAAAAAAAAAATCTATAAACCCAGGTGTGGTGATACACACCTTTAATCTCAGCACACAAAGGAAGAGGTTAGTGCATCTCTCCTGAGTTCAAGGCCAGCCTGGTCTACATAGTGAGCTCCAAGCAGCCAGGCTACATAGTGAGACCCTCCCTGTTTCAAAAAACCAAAAGCTATCATTTTTGTTGTCTCCTGGGAATAAGTGGTGAGACATCATTTAGGATACATTTTCAAACCTAAGGCCATGTCCAATGCTTTAGCACTTCTTTTTATACTTACTGTCATCTTCGTCATCAGAATCTGAAACATCTACACCACCTTCTTTAATGATCACTCGGGCTTTGGAGGAAAAAGAAAATTTGTTAAGGTATAGAAAAATTTAAAGGCAGTGGTGGCTGGAAAGATGGCTTAGTGGTTAAGAGCAGTGGCTCTTCTAAAGGAGCAAATTCCCAACACCCACACGATGGCTTACAAATGCCTTTGAACTCAAATACAAAAGGATCTGACACCCTTTTCAGCCTCTTTGGACATTGTACACAAGGCACATATACATACATGCAGAAAAAGCACACACACCAAAAAAATAAAGTAAGTGACATCAACAGACATACTTTCTGCCTATGATACCCTGTGCAATCACAGGGCTCTGCAAGCACAGTAGCAGCCATCAAAAGTGTCATCATGACATTAGACCACAACTGTGAGCCCTACTAACTACTGTCTTTAGAACAAGGAAGGGAAGGGCAGAGAAGCAAGAGAAAAGGAAGGGAGAGGAAGAAGGGAATTCACTTTCAAAGGAAAGGATTACTACTTACGAGGCACAAAATGAGAAGCAATCATACTGAGGCATGGTCTAAGGAAGACAGTCTGTGCCGACACAAGATTACCAAGAAAAGCCAAATACTCCTCCACCACTGTCTGACTTCTCTTCAACCAAGGCAATCTCTAGAGATGGGAGAGGAAGACAATGCAAAAGTGTCACAGATATATACTGTTTTCAAAGTACTAAACTATCTGCTGGTCAGTGAACTTACCAATATAATGTTTATAAGTTGCTCAAAGTCTTTTGTCAAGTACATGACAGAAGAGCGAAATTCCAGCAGCCAGTTAATGATCTGGTCATCCTTAAGTTAAAACAAAGAAAAATCATAAACTGTTTAAGGTTACAGAAAAGTAATGGATCTACTGTATAATATATTTAAACTCAGAAAAACAAATATGCTCCACTAAGATATGATAGAGAGTCTGGTCAAGGATGTGCACTCCTGTAATCTCAGCATGTGAGCAGCCAAGGCTGTAAATTCAAGTTCTGAGTTATATACTGAGTTATAGACAGACCTGGCTTATATACATATTAAAACAAAGGGCTAAGTGTAGGACAGTGACAGTGTTCTTTCCACCATTTTGGGAGACCCTGGATTTGATGCTTAGCACTTCCTGTACAAGCTAGGTAACTTGAGTCTGATCACTAGAAGCCATGTAAATATTGAAGGCAAGAAGCCAGTACAGGGACTAGAGAGCTGGCTCAGCAGTCAAGAGCACTGGTTGTTCTTCCAGAGGACACAGGATCAATTCTCACCATCTGTAATTCCATTTCCAGGGGATCCAACATGCTCCTTCCCTCCCATCCCCCCCTTCAAGTTCAGGGTTTCTCTGTGTAGCCCTGGCTGTCCTGGAGCTCACTCTGCAGACCAGGCTGGCCTCAAGCTCACAGAAATCTGACTGTCTGTGCCTCTCAAATGCTGGGATTAAAGGCATGCACCACCACCACCACCACTAGGCCCCCCCTGTTTTTTTAGGCACCAGGCATGTACACTGTGTCCAGATATATACTTAGGGAAAATACCTATACACATATAATAAATTTTTAAATATCCGAACCCACAAGTGGTCCTCCACTTCCACATGCACACTGCTGCATGTATGTTCAATTAAAAATGGAAGCTTTTAATAAAAAAGCCAATCAGCTGCAGGCACAGTGGCACCCGTCTGTATCTCCAACCTTCAGAAGTAGAGGGAGGAAGATCTCAAATTTGAGGGAAGACTACACCGTAGCTAACATTATCTCCAAAAAAAACAAAGACTGGACTGTGCTAGAGCTCTTTCCCAGCATGCTTATTACATCCTAATTTTCAATCCCCAACATTGAAAAAATTAGAACTACAAGAACATAGTCAGGGTTTGCTGAGTCAGTGGTGAGCTTTGATTAGGAGCAGATTACATGCAGCACTCTGAAAAAGCAGACACAACTGCTATGATCTTTACTGTGCCAAGAATCTGCAGATCAATAAACAAGTGCTGGTTTAGCAATGCACAAGGCCCCACTTTTAATCCCCAGCACAACAAAAATCACAAAACTTATTAAATGACACAAAAAAGGGGCAAGGCTGGAAAGATGGTTTGGAAGTTAAGAGCTCACATTGTTCTTAAAGGACCTGCTAAGGGCTAGGTACAAGCTCTGACTTCTAGCCTCAGCATCAGGTTCAGAGTGAGAACCTGCTCACATAAAGTAGAGTGCAACACAAAAGAAAGAAGGTAAAGGTCAAGAAAGCTTGAATACTTAATTCAGGTGATCTTAAAGGGTAATATTCCTTATGGAGAGAAAGCACATTCCCAGAAAACGGAAAGTAAATCAGTATGGCCCCTGCATATATATAGTGAGTAAGCCAAAAGATAACTCTGGGAGCAAAGAAGAATCACAGAGGTCACGTATGCTGGATATATAATTAGAAAGACCTACTGATATCTGGGAAAGGACTCAATGAAGGAAACACCAGAGAAAGCTGACATTTCATCAGGATCTGAGATTGAGCATTTATAGATTATAGTAGTAGCAATAAACAGATAGGACATTCACTGTGTACCAGGCAGTGTTCTGAGATTTTATCATATGTTAATTAATTTATTGCTACAAGCACCCCACACAGCAGGCACTAATGAGCTCCATTTTATAGATGGCACTAAAGTACAAATACAAGAACTCACCCTTACATGAGTCTCAGTTAGAAGGCCTGAGCAGTCTAAGGGACCTCTGACAGTGGAACCAGGATGTATCCCTGGTGAAAGAAAGAACTTTGGGAACACATTCCCCATGGAGGGATACTCCCTAAACCTAGAGGCAGGAGAGAGGGCCTAGTCGCTACTCCAAAGACTTGACAGATTTTGTTGACCCCTCCTGGAAGGCATCGCCCTCCCTGTGGAGTGGGGATGGGGTGGGATGGTAGGGTGGTCAGGGGGCATGGGAGAGAGGGAGGGAGGGAAAGAGAGAGGGAAAGAAGGAGACAGGGAACTGGGATCAATATGTAAAATAAGAAAAAACAAAAACAAAAAATGAACTCACCCTTGGGAAGGAAGAAATATTGTCAGAACTAGTATTCAAACAGTATTAAAGAAGACCTCCAGCCACAAAGAAAAGACACTTAAAGACATACAGGTGGCAAACTCAGAGAATGAAGTGTCTCGTAAGACTAAGCATAGTAAAGAATGTTACCAGCTGTACTAAAGGTTAATCTCTATTCTTCTACAGACATGAAGTTTTTAAGTAAGTGATGACATGCCTAGGTATGTCCTGTGGAAAGATGAGTCAGACTTCACTGTTCAGAGAATATCTACAGGAAAGAAGACAGAGCATGGCAGGATATAAAAAGTAAAGAGTCACTAGAAGAATTTAGACTTGCTAAGACCAACAAAGTCCTACATAATTTTTTTTTTTTTTTTGCTCCATCATGAATGAATGAAGGTGAGAAAGTACAGAAAGACTACAAGGTCCCTAAATCAAGAATTGGGTAAGCAATAAATCAATTTGACATAGAGAAGGCTGCAGAGAAGTCAGTTTGGGGAGGAGATCAAAGTGATTGGCCGGCCATAACAGAGCATATTAACAATTCTGGTAGACACAGTGAACAGGTAGGAAGCAAGTCTGGGGTCCACAGGAGCTATAACACACACCTTTAGGAGTTACTAAGATACACATAATTTCCAAAGCCTACAGCAATCACACACGAAGACTCTATTAACTAAAATGAACCAAATTAAAAAAAAAAATCCAGAGCTTAATTTTTTTTTTTTTTTTTTTTTTTAATTGAGGGCTGGGCTGGAGAGGTGGCTTAGTGGTTAAGAGTATGTATTACTGCTCCAAAGGGCCTGGATTCAGTTTCCAGCACCCACATAGCTATTCACAACTTCTGATCTCCATCAGTACCTGGCATGCACACACATATATGCAAGCAAAACACTCATACACAAAAAACAAAATAAAAAACCCACTCAATACCAAAGTTAAGAACATATTAAAAGGTTGGTTGGTGGTGGTGCACATCTTTAATCCCAGTACTCAGGAGGGAAAGGTAGGTGGATTGACTTCAAGGCTAGCCTGATCTACAGAGCAAGACAGCTAGGACTATAGAGTTTGTCCTATAAACAAACTACCTCAAAAAAAAAAAAAAAAAAAAACACCCAAAACAAAACACCCTATCAAAAAATAATATCTAAAACAAAGAACTTACCTACCAATAAAGTGAATAAAGTAATGAATGAGAAGACAGAAAGATCACAAAAGTGAAGATTTTAAATGGGTAACCAACAATTGCTAAATGATAGGATGCTGTCAAATGGTACTGAGATGAGCATGTGAGAAATTACTGGGGAAAGCCAGGCACGATGGCACACAGCTTTAATTTAGTATGCTGAGACAAAAGGATCTCTCTCATTTGAGGCCAGCCTGGTCTATATAGTGAGTTTCGAAACAATCAGGGCTATGTAGAGAGACTCGGTATCTCAAGAAAGAACAAAACAAAAAAATTATTGGGGACAAAAACATCATTACTGGTAACTTTTGTCAAGTCATTTGAGCAACAATAAACTGACTTAAATGTAAATAAGACAGGAGGAATGGGGGTGTGCAGACCATGAAGAGGAACAATCACAACTAATGACAAGTACTTATCTCAGGTTGGAGGCTGTCCTGAGGCATCTTGGATTTTCAACTCATTGAGTTTTCTTGGTTCTGCCCTCATTCTCTCTTCTTTCAAGATTTATTTTTATTTTATGGTTATGAGTGCTTTGTCTGCATGCATGTATATGTACCATGTGCACGCAAGAGAGACTGCAGAGCCCAGAGGAGGGTATGGTATCATATCCCCTGAAATAGCTACAGATGGTTGTTAGCTGCCATGTGGGTGCTGGGAACAGAATCTGAGTCATCTGAAAGAACACCAAGTGCTCTCAACCATTAGCTATCTCTCTAGTCCACCCCTTTAAGTCACCAAGGGTAGGGAGAGGGCAGGGGAAGCCTGTTATCTAATCACTAGATGCTGGAAGTATCCCCCCCACCATTTTTGACAACCAAAAGTATTTCTAGCCATTGTTTAATGTCTGCTAGAGGGGAAAATTGCTCCTGGTTGAGAAACCCTGAGCTAATAAGATGGAATCATAGAAAGCAAGTTTGAGAGAACAGACCAGGACCATTGGTACAAGGATGACAGCCTGGGGTCAAGCCTAGAGACCCACAAGGTAGAAAGACAGAGCTAACTCCCACAAACTTTCCCCTGCCCTTGACACCTGCTGTAGCATGCACAGGTGTGCACACATGCAAAATACATAATTAAAAGTGATAAAGACAATTTTTAAAATTACCTTTATGTCAGGGTCTGAGAGCTGGTTCTTCAACAACTCTAAGTCATTTGTCTCACCCTGAACAAAGAGAAGAAATTAAAGTACAATTACTATGGTTTCCTTTAAATATCAACAGAATTTTTATTATGTCTTGATATCTCATGGAATTGCAAAAGGACCTGTGGTACTTCTACACATCACTCACAATAATCAGCAGTTAAGAGCACTGGCTGCTCTTCCAGAGGATCAAGGTTCAATTCCTCGTACCAGAGTTCAATTCCCAGCACCTACATGGCAGCTCACATTTGCCTGTAGTTTACTCCTGTTTCAGGGGATCCAACACCCTCACACAGACATACATGCAGGCAAAACACCAATGTACATAAAAGATAAATAATTTTTAAAAAGTAAGTAAACAAAAATTGTTCTAATATTTAATTTTAGCACTTGCTAAAGTTTTCAAAGTTACTATATACAGCACTTTAAGGCATTAAGCCTCAACAATCTTGTTTTGACTACTTTTTAACTTACAGTATCATACATATCACTAAATATTCTATTTCAATATAGTATCTAAAAATATTTCCCTCCCTCCATTCCCCCATCCGTTTAGACTAGATCACAATCTCTTCAGGGATTGAATACCTTTTCACAGGGGTCGCCAAAGATCCAGAAAACACAGATATTTGCATTACTATTCATAACAGCAGCAAAATTATGGTTACAAAGTAGCAAAGAAAATAATTTTATGGTTGGGGGTCACTATAACATGAGGAACTGTATTAAAAGGTTGCAGTCTTATGAAGGATGAGAACCACCGGTTTAGACTGAGGCTGTGTAGCGGTGGCTGGTCTCAAATTCATAGATACCCACTTGCCTCTATCTCCAATTGCTTACCAAGCCCAGAGTAAAATTTATTTTTAGGCTATTAAAGGAGCTCAACTGGAAGTGTTTTCCTGTTATGGTCAAGGTCCCAGATACAATCCCCATCACTGAGAACTAAACACACACACACCCAATAAAGTTCATTTTACTATGTTTACTATGTTTGTGGTTGTTTGTGGGGGGCACTCAGGAGGAGCCTAAGGTCTTGGTAATCTGCTTTTCAGTGTAATACCTTCTGTATTCTGACTAAGCCAAGTCAAACCCCATAGAGTATCTCCTCATACCTTTTTGTATTTCAGTAAGACTTCTGTCACAGTTCCACCAAACCGAACAGTTTTTCTTGGGGGAGAATTGAAGAAATCACTCTCTAATGCAAGCATATCCGAAAGCCTGAAGAACCAGTTATTAAATTAATGACTGAGAAAAACAGTGAACATTACTGAACCAACATCATTTTGTTTCTTAAATGGCATCCTGTTTCCCAATCTTACCCCACCAATCGATTCTTCACTCAGTAAAACTATCCTCATGGTACTAAAAATAAGAATCCCAACTCAAACTCCTAATGGGGAAATATACATCTTGAAAAACCAACACTTGGGGTCTGAGGCAGAATCCAGGAGTTCAGGTCAACCTAGGCTACATAGAGAGATTTTATCTCAAAATTATTATTATTTTTTTTTTAAGAGAAAGAGATGGGAAAGAGACTCCAAATTCTCACATTAACTCTGTAAGATCCTATTTAACTGGGCCTTGCCTAACTCTCGGTCCCTTTCTTCCTCAAACCCGTCAAGCTGGTTCCATTTCACTTGTTACAATGTTAGAAACACTCTTCCCAAATATATACCAGGCTGAAGCCCAAATACCAGAGGCATTCTCGGCCAGAAGTGCCGCAGTGTTACTCTCCATAGCACTGATACCCGAACACTTAGTTCACACAGCTAAGTACACATTTCATAAATAATTGTCAGCATGCTAAGTGCTTTACAAGGTTCCCTTCACTTAAACAGAATCTAAAGATTAAACCCCAAATATTTTATACTGGTTTTTACATGTGGGACATTTAAACTGGATTTCCTGCTCATTGCTCCAGAAACAAAACTTTACAATTCAGTTTATTACCACTGACAGCATTCACTCAGAAATCCAAAAGCCCAGGGAATGCCATACGCATCTAGGCCAAGGAAGGGAAGACAGACTCAGACCGCAGGCCTAGAGTCCCACCAGGGCGCCGCAAGAGTGAGTGGAAGACAATGAACGGGCGAGACTCACTAGCTCAGCGCCCTTGCCCTCGCTGTCGATACCCGAGGGAGGCTCCTACGCACCGGCCCAAGCCGGCATGACCCCTCAGCACGCCCGAGCCCCGGACCCGCAGGGTTAGGCCGCCTGGTTCTTACCCAGTCCCGGACGTGCCCAGCGTGGCAGAGGTCGCAGGCGCCACATCTCCGAGCAAGCGCGTGTGGAGCAGGGGTGCCGCCATCTGACCAGAGCAGCGCAAGCGCAGCGCCGGCCGCCTGAGCCTCGACCTCCAGTCCGCCCCGGAAGTGGCGCTGGAGCTCCTGCCTCCAGCCAATCACGGCCCACGTAAGGAGAGCAAAGCTACCGCCGCAGAAGGCCGGCCGCAGAGCCCCAGCCTATGCGAGCCGAGCCCAGTCAGTGGCACGGTTTCCCAAAACCGTCTTCAGAGAGAATCCTGCAATGGTGGCGTGCACCTGTAACCCTGGCCTCTGGAGGTGCAGGCGGGAGGATCAGGAGTTCAAGACTACAGAGCAAAATGCTAGGGACCAGGGCTAGCCAGGAGAAAGGCTGACGTGATGTTAGGCACGCCAGCACTGGAGAAGGAGACGAAAGGAAGGATCTCTAGGACTCGCTGGCCAACCAGCCAGCCTTGCCTTCCTGGCACACACTGTACGCTAACCTCCGTCAACACGCAAACATCCACATACATACGGAAGAAGAGACAACTGTGGAGACATTTGACTGGACAAAATACACGATCTATACGTCATTTTAGAAACATACGCTTAATTGTGCCCCCCCCCCCCCGGGATTGGGGAGGGTTTAGAGACAGGGTTCTGAAACAGCCCTGGCTGTCCTGTAACTTGCTATGTAGACCAAGCTGGCTTCAAACGTCACAGAGATCCACCTGTCCCTCCTGAGTGCTGGGATTAAAGGCATGTAGTGTACCACCACCACCTGGCTGATTTTTGTGTTGACTATTTTTATTTATTGTGTATGTGTGCGCACCACATGCATACAGATTCATCAGATCTCCTGGAACTATACTTTCAAGCAGCCGTGTCCTGGTGGGGATGCCGAGAACCAAATGCAGTAAGTGTTTTTTTTTTTTGTTTTTGTTTTTGTTTTGTTTTTTTATGTTTTTGAGACAGGGTTTCTCCATATAACAGCCCTGGTTGTCCTGGAATGCAATCTGTAGACCAAGCAGGCCTCAAACTCACAGAGATCTGCCTGCCTCTGCCTCCCAAGTGCTGGGATTAAAGGAGAGCACGCTCTTACCCACTGAGCCATCGCCTCAGCTCATTTTCTTTCTTTTTTCTGGTTTTTGGTTTGGTTTGGGTTCTTTGTTTGTTTTTGAGGCAGGGCCTCTCTAAGTAGCCTTGCAGAGATTCTCATGCCTCTGCCTCCCAAATGCTGAAATTAAAGGTGTTCATCACCATTGGCCCAGGCCATTTTGTCTTTCTAGAAAGATATGTATTTCTGTGTGTGCCTGAATGTCTGTATATACGCACCATGTTCATGAAATGCATGCGGAGAGGAGGGATTTCCTAGAACTAGCTGTTGTGAGCTACCTGTCCTGAATGAATCCTGGGAACCAAACCCAGGTCCTCTACAAGAGGTGCTTTTAACTGCTTAGCCATCTCTCCAGCCACACAGCAGAAAACAGCAGAAACTAAAACTTTGAAACTGAGAGAGAGGAAATCCTGTACCCCACTGTCAGTAAGAAAGAAAAATGAAACTTTTGGAAGCTATGTAGAAATTTAGACAGGACTATCTTCAGCATCTGGTTAACTAAAAAGCACAGCTCTGGCAGCATTCTGCCCTCTTGAACTGATTTTCTATCTGATACTGTTATAGAGTTTCTAGGGAATGCTGGATACAAATCACCTAGTCTCCAGAACAGGGGAAATAATAGCACATTAACTCAATCAGTGACTCAGGATAGCTGTTTATTTTATTTTATAGTTCTTGTTATTTTATAGATGATCCTAGCTCCCTCTCCCTCCCATCTTCCCATGCTCTCCCCTCCCCCAGTCCCATTGCTCATCCCAGGGAGGGTGAAGTCTTCCAGGAGGGATCATCAAAATCTGTCAAGTCATTTGGGGTAGGGCCTAGGCCCTCCCTCCTGCCTCTAGGTTAAGGGAGTATCCCTCCATGGGGAATGTGCTCCCAAAGTCCTTTCCTGCACCAGGGATACATCCTGGTTCCACTGTCAGAGGTCCCTTAGACTGCTCAGGCCTTCTAACTAAGACCCACGTTCAGGGGGTCTGGGTCGGCTCTATACTGGTTTCCCAGCTATCAGTCTGGGGTCCATGATCTTCCCCTTGTTCAGGTCAGCTGTCTCTATGGGTTTCTGAAGCCTGGTGTTGACCCCTTTGCTCATTACTCCATCCTCTCTGCAACTGGATTCTAGGAGTTCAGTTCAGTGTCTGTTTCTGTTTCCATCAGCTACTGGATAAAGGCTCTATGATGGCATATGTTAGTCATCAATCTCATTATCAGGGAAGGGCATTTAAAGTAGCCTCTCCACTATTGCTCAGATTGTTAGTTGGGGGTCATCCTTGTAGGTCTCTGGACATTTCCCTAGTGCCATATTTCTCTTCAAACCTAAATGGCTCTCTATTATGGTATCTCTCCTTGCTCTCCTCTATTACTCCCCTGACTTAACCTTCCTGCTCCCCCATGTTCTCCTCTTCCCTCTTCTTCTCTTACCTTTCTCCTAACTTCCTCTCCACTCACTGACCACCCCCAATATGATCAGGAGATCTTGTCCTTTTCCCCTTCTTTATGTCTGTCTTAGGGTCTTCCTTGTTTCCTAGCTTCGCTGATGGTGTGAATTGTAGGCTGGTGATCCTTTGCTCTATGTCTAAAATCCATATATGAGTGAGTACCTACCATGTTCATCTTTTTGTGACTGGGTTACCTCACTGAGAATGGTTTCTTCTAGTTCTGTCCATTCGCCTGCGAATTTCAAGATTCTATTGGATTTTTTTTTTTCTGCTGAGTAGTACTCCATTGTATAAATGTACCACATTTTCTTTATCCATTCTTCGGTTGAGGGGCATCTAGGTTGTTTCCAGGTTCTTGCTATTACAAATAATGCTGCTATGAACATAGTTGAACAGATATCTTTGTTGCATGGATGTGCATCTTTTGGATGTATGCCTTAGAGTGGAATTGTGGATCCTGTGGTAGACTGATTCCCATATTTCTGAGGAACCACCATACTGACAAGTTTGCACTCACACCAGTAGTAGAGGAGTGTTCATTCCCCTCTCTCCACATCCTCTACAGCATAAACTGTCATTGGTATTTCCGATTTTAGCCATTCAGCCAGGAGTAAGATGGTATCTCAGAGTTGTTTTGATTTGCATTTCCCTGATGGCTAAGGATGTTGAGCACCTTCTTAAGTGTCTTTCAGCCATTTTGGATTCCTCTATTCAGTTCTGTACTCCACTTTTTAATAAGGTTATTTGGTGTTTGGTGACTAGCTTCTTGAGTTCTTTGTATATTTTGGAGATCAGCCCTCTGTCAAATGTGGGGTTGGTGAAGATCTTTTCCCAGTCTATGAACTGCCATTTAATGTTGTTGACTGTGTCCTTTGCCTTACAGAGCTTCTCAGTTTCAGGAGGTACCATGTATTAATTGTCGATCTCAGTGTCTATGCTACTGGTGTCATAGGAATTTGTTCAAGGTTACCTCCCACTTTCTCTTCTAAGAGCTTCAATGTGGCTGGATTTATGTTGAGGTCTTTGATCCAAGTGAACTTAAGTTTTATGCATGGTGATAGATATGGATTTATCTGCAATCTTCTATAAGTCAGCGTCCAGTTATGCCAGCACCTTTTGTTGAAGATGCTTTCCTCTTTCCATTGTATAATTTTAGCTGTTTTGTCAAAAATCAGGTGTTCATAGTTGTGTGGGTTAATATCAGGATTTTCTATTGGATTCCATTGGTCTACCTGTCTATTTTTGTGCCAAGACCAAGCTGTTTTCAGGACTATAGCTCTATAGTAGAGCATGAAGTCAGGGATGGTGATGCTTCTGGAAATTCCTTTATTGTACAGGGTTGTTTTGGCTATCCTGGGTCTTTTGTTTTTGAGTATTGTCCCTTCAAGGTCAGTGAAGAATTGTACTGGGATTTTGATGGGGATTGCATTGAATCTGTAGATTGCTTTTGGCAAGATTGCCATTTTTACTATGTTGATCCTACCTATCAAAGAGTGTGGGAGATCTTTCCATATACTGGTATCTTCTTTAGTTTCTTTGTTTAAAGACACAAAGTTCTTGCTATATAGGTACTTTCACTTGTTTGGTTAGCATTACTCCAAGATATTTTATGTTGTTTGTGGCTATTGTAAAGGGTGATGTTTCTCTGATTTCTTTCTCAGCCTATTTATAGTCTGTATATAGTAGGGCTACTGCTTTTTTTTTTTTTTTTTTGTTAATCTTGTATCCTGCCACTTTGCTGAAGGTTTTTTTTTTTTTTTGTTTTGTTTTTTTTTTTGTTTTTTTTGTTTTTTTGTTTTTTTGTTTTTTCCAGCTGTAGAAGTTTTCTGGTAGAGTTTTTTGGGGTCACTTATGTAAACTATTTTATCATATGCAAATAGTGACAGTTTGACTTCTTCCTTTCCAATTTGTATCCCCTTGATCGCCTTTTGTTATCTTATTGCTCTAGTTAGAACTTCAAGTACAATTTTGAAGAGATATGGAGAGAGTAGACTGTCTTGCCTTGTTCCTGATTTTAGAGAAATCACATTTTCTCTCCATTTAGATTAATGTTGGCTGTTGGTTTACTGTATATGCTGTTATCCCTTTAGTTATCCCTGTTATCCCTGATCTCTCCAAGACCTTTATCATGAAGAGGTGTTGGATTTTGTCAAAGATGTTTCAGCATCTAGTGAGATGATCATGTGGTTTTTCTTCTTCAGTTTGTCTATGTATTGGATTGCATTGATAAATTTTCGTATGTTGAACCATCCCTGGTATGAAGCCTACTTGGTCATGATGGATGATTTCTCTGATATGTTCTTGGATTTGATTTGCCAGTATTTTATTGAGTATTTTTGCATCAATGTTCATGAGGGGTATTGGTCTGTAGTTCTCTTTCTTAGTTGTGTCTTTGTGTGGCTTGGGTTCCAAGGTAATTATAGCCTCATAAAAAAGAGTTTGGTAATGAACCAAACTTCTATTGTGTGGTACAATTTGAGGAGTATTAGTATTAGTTCTTCTTTGCGTATCTGGTAGAATTCTGCACTGAAGTCATCTGGTCCTGGGCTTTTTTTTTG